ATCTTTTGACACCCTAACCGCCAGCACATATATGTTTAATATATGTGAGCTAGATGGAGCTTTGTGACCCAACAATCATTCACTCTATATACTTATCCCAGCTACTCTGCAGACATTCAACCGCTTCCAGATAACAAGTAGATGAAGTGAGCCCTCTTATTTCATATAGTGCTGTGGTCAAGTGTGAGGGTCTTGAAGCCAGTCACAGGTTTGAATCCTGCTTCATCCACTTATTAGCTGTGTAACCTTGTACCAATGTTAAAAGAAAAAAATTTTTACAACCTATAAAGGGTTGTTTGTGAAAAAAAAGGAAAAGAGAACTGCTATTGGGGCATGAAATAACAGCTGGAAAAGTTTATGATTCGAATGCTTAAATATGTAAATATTAAATGCTTAAATATATATTTTATAAACGTGGTACGTGGGTGAGTTCTCAGAGGAGCTCATGGTCTCACTAGAGAAGCCAGCAGCCTGCTGACCCTCTCAGGCCCCTCCTATTGAGAAAGACCAAGCAGCAAGAACAGGGATTTGTGGTTAAATGTTAACTTGTGTTTATTCCTCTACAACTGCCCCATGTTTAATTTGGCCAACCCAGTGAAGATTCTTTCGTAAGCCTGTGTGTAGTTTCTAAACACCAGACCTACGACCTTTACACACATGCTAAACATTTATAGACTGGGAGAGTTCTCCTTTTTCTCCATCAGCAAACTGAATAAATACCAACATCCTCCTCTCCCCTCCAGAAAGTATTCTTTGATCTATGCTAAAGATAAACTGGTAATAAATCATCCTGATCAGCTAAGGGTTGCAAAGCAGATTCTTTGATAAGCCAATTAACTGCAGAAGGCACTGGGGCTTGTTTCTTCCTGATGCTGACTTAGATTCTTAAAGCCATAGAATTTTAGAGCTGGGAAGAGACCTTATAAGGTTATCTCATCAAACTGTTTGATTTTAATGAATAAGAAAACTGTGAGCTCAGGGGAAGAAAAAAGCAGTTTAGAATCATGTACAGATGTTAATAAAGATCTGTAATGGAAATGTTTTGTCAAACAATTCCTACAGCATTTTAAACTTTGTGAGGTATTGCTTCTTATGTCCTTTATAATCTGGCGATCCAAGTACAGTGTTTGGGCCTGGAATTGGAAATCTGTATACGCTAAGCCTCAGCTTTGGGCTGATGTCAGAAATATCTGAGAATCACTGCTGCCCCCTGCTGGAAATTTAAAATATCACAGGCTCTCAAGCTTCTATGGAATTTTTTTTTAACAGTCAAAAAGTTATAAAAGTAATAATTCCTTAGGTTAAAAAGTTTGAACAGCATGAAAGAGAGTAAAGAGAAAAGCAAAAATTTCTCCTCTTCAATCAGACTTCCCAAAAATTAACTACTGTTAATTTTTTTCTGTTTCTTTTATACTTCATTACTTTCTCCTCCTATTATTTGAAATTCCTTCCTTCTACTATTTTTACATTCACTCTGTTCTCTTGCTAACTTGAGTGCTTTACTCATTTGTTTTTCAAAATTTCTTCAAAACTGCATTTAAGCCTACAAAATGTGCGTTTAATGACTGTTTTTGCTGCATCCCACACCTTTAAAAAATATATACATACATTATTTCAGAGAGAAGGTAGAGGGAGAGAGAGATAGGATCATCAATGATGAGAGAGAATCATCGATTGGCTGCCCTCCATTGGGGATCAATCGGCTGCCCTGAATATCTTTGTGCCTATGTTTTTGGGCATAGGATAAAATCTAGGAAGAAGTTTAGGTGCAAATGCATGTGATTTTAAGTTTTGATAAATACTGCCAAATTGGTACTGTCCATATATTTAGTAATTCTATCGTTCCCATATCTGCCTGGGTATCAAAACCAGAATCTCCCAGAGAGTTCATTTAAAATAGCTCCCTTCTGCACATCTCTTGTCTGTTCTAATTCAGTGGGGGAGAATCTGCACCCCATCCTCATCCCCATCCCCACCTGTGATTCTGACATACACTCAGGACTGAGAATGGCTACATAAGCTACCCATTTCTTGCTACACTGCAGCAGATGGAAATGTGCTCCCACATCCTAATCTTAATGTGGTTACTCAGTTCTTATTCACCCGATGCTTATCCAGTGCCCACTGTGTGTGCAAGACCCTATGCTCTCTCCCCCAGAGGCAAGATTGTACAGATGGTGTGGTTATGGATCTCACCACTCCCATGGGTGGTGGTGCTGGGGGCCAGTGGGTGTGTTGGCCTGTGGCTGGGGTTTGGGGAGGGAGCAGTGTGTGGGTGAAACTCAGGAATCCTGCAGCACTACAGTTGGCAGGAATTTTAAAAAGACCCAGCCCCGACCTCCATGACATGAGCATGTGTTTAACAAATAAGGAGCCAGCACAATTGGAGGTCTCCTCAGGCAACTGCTACCAGGGGTTACCACAAGTCAGCACGTCCTTTCCCACTGGGCCCTTCTAATCCAGATGAAATATAATATAACTAAAACACACGTGGGAAATGCGCCATCAGCAGCCAACAGATCACAATCATAAAAAAAGAAAAAAAGGAGAGGCTGGGAGCTTCCGTCACCCGGGGGCTTGGCCAGCCTGAAAACGGCCCTCCTCAGCCCCTCACCCAGACTGGTCAGGCACCCCAGTGGGGACCCCCCACCCTAAAGGGGATGTGGCCAGCCTGAAAACAGCCATCAGCCCCTCACCCAGGCTGGCCAAACCTCCATGGGGTGAGGGTCCCCACTGCGGGGGGCTTGATCAACCTGCAAACAGCCATCAGCCCCTCACCCAGGCTGGCCAAACCTCCATGGGGTGAGGGTCCCCACTGCGGGGGGCTTGATCAACCTGCAAACAGCCATCAGCCCCTCACCCAGGCTGGCCAAACCTCCATGGGGTGAGGGTCCCCACTGCGGGGGGCTTGATCAACCTGCAAACAGCCATCAGCCCCTCACCCAGGCTGGCCAAACCTCCATGGGGTGAGGGTCCCCACTGCGGGGGGCTTGATCAACCTGCAAACAGCCATCAGCCCCTCACCCAGGCTGGCCAAACCTCCATGGGGTGAGGGTCCCCACTGCGGGGGGCTTGATCAACCTGCAAACAGCCATCAGCCCCTCACCCAGGCTGGCCAAACCTCCATGGGGTGAGGGTCCCCACTGCGGGGGGCTTGATCAACCTGCAAACAGCCATCAGCCCCTCACCCAGGCTGGCCAAACCTCCATGGGGTGAGGGTCCCCACTGCGGGGGGCTTGATCAACCTGCAAACAGCCATCAGCCCCTCACCCAGGCTGGCCAAACCTCCATGGGGTGAGGGTCCCCACTGCGGGGGGCTTGATCAACCTGCAAACAGCCATCAGCCCCTCACCCAGGCTGGCCAAACCTCCATGGGGTGAGGGTCCCCACTGCGGGGGGCTTGATCAACCTGCAAAAAATCGACTGAACAGCGGAACGACCAGTCACTATGACACACACTGACCACCAGGGGGCAGATGCTTAACACAGGAACTGTCCCCTGGTGGTCAGTGTGCTTCCACAGGGGCAGTGCTGCTCAGCCAGAAGCTTGGCTCACAGGCTGGCAAGCACAGTGGTGGTGGCAGGAGCCTCCCCTGCCTGCCACAGGGCTAAAGACCCCTTGGGGGATGTCAACCTGCCGGTTTAGGCCCGCTCCCCTGAGGGATCCTGGACTGCGAGAAGGCACAGGCTGGGCTAAGGGACCCCATGCCAGTGCACGAATGTCGTGCACCAGGCCTCTAGTATAAAATATATAGCATAACCCTTTTTACACACACACACACACACACACACACACATAATAGATTACAAGATATTAGAAGGCTATAAACCTTAATTTCAACATACTTTTCATGTGGTGACTTAAATGTTAACCTTTTATTTTTTCTAATTGTTCTACGACAATATGTTATTTTTGTAATTTAAAAGTTATGTCTTATATGTTTAGAAGTTTTTGGGGTATTGGCCATATTTCTTTTTTAAAAAATATGTTCTTATTGATTTCAGAGAAAGGAAGGAAGAGGAAGAAAAGGGATAGAAACATCAATGATGAGAGAGAACCATTGGTCTGCAGCCTCCTTCATGCCTCCTACTGGGAATCGAGCCTGAAACACAGGCATAGGGGCTGACTGGGAACCCAAACGTGACCTCCTGGTTCATGAGTCCTCCAGATTCATGGGTCCACGCTCAACCACTGCACACCGGCCGGGCTTTATTTTATTTCTTAATTTCAACAGGGTCAACATAGGCTCTTGCTTTGGGTTATTTTTTTAGCGTAAATTTGTTTATAAAGTTTCCTCCATGTTATGATACATCTCACAATTAGTGCTTAATAAGCTGCACGTATTTATTTTTCAATATTTTATACAAAGACCCGCATCTCTAGTACAGCGTTCCATAATTTCGGAGCAAAATTGACCCTTGACTGCAAACACCCTTTGGGTTGCGCAACTGAACAGCATGGACTTCAAGTCCCGGTAGGCATTGCGGCAGGCGTACCGGAACTACGGGGGCCGAGAGGGGGCCGGGGCCCTACGGTCCTTTCCCACCCAGAAGCCCGCGGGCTGCTCGGAACGCTGTCTGTATCATGGCCGCGGGAGCCGGGACGGGGGGCCCCGCTTCCGGCCCGGACGTTCTGCGTGATCCGGCGGCGTCACAG